GGACTCAGCTTCCTATCACCTTCAGCACTGTCCCAGAGCTAAGGCCATTGATTTTTAAAATTGCAGGTTTTAAGTCTCACTGGTCTTAAGAACTCACAAAATTTGGCCCTTGTAATTTTCAAAGTCAATTGCTATGGTGATTTTTCTTCTCTGTGCAGCCTCCCCTGTGTGTAGTCTGTTTCTTGCCCATGTCTGCACCTGTAGCTCCCTACCTCTGACAGACAGACCTGTAGGGTTTAGCTCCCCACCATGTCTCTGGTAGGAACGTGGCCTCTTCTTTACATTTAGTTGTGGAGTTATTCCCCCAGTCTTTGGGTCGTTTTCTGGATTATACTGATGTGTCATCTAGTTGAATCCATGGGAAGAGGTGAGTTTAGGGCCCTCGTACTCCACCATCTTTGCTGGAAGTGCCCTGTACTGTCTTATAAGTGATTTATCTACTACCTTTATTATGTTTGTATGTACCTGTGAGGTTTTTTTCCTTTTCTAATTTTCTTACTCCTGTCTATGGTTTTTTCTTTTCACTGAAAGAATTAATTCCTTTTAACATTTCTTATAAGGCTGGTTTAGTGGTGAGAATTCCTTTATCTCTCTATTCTGAATGATAATCTTACTGGATAGAGTATTTTTGGTTGCAGGTTTTTTTCTTTCAGCACTTTGAATAATCATTCCACTCCCTTGTGGCCTGTGAAGTTCCTGCTGAAAAATCAGAAGATAGCCTTATGGAGTTTCCCTTGTATATAACTTTTCTTTTCTCAAGTCTCTATAACAACTTTGCCATTTTATTGTGTCTTGGTGTGGACCTCCTTGGGTTGATTTTATAGGGGGCTCATTGTGCCTCCTGCTTCTGGATGTGTTTCCTTCCCTAGATTAGGGAAGTTTTCAGCAATTTTTCAAATTTTCTTCCCTCTTTTTCTCCTTCTGGGACCCCTACAATACAAACATTATTATACTTGATGGTGTTGCTGAGTTCCTTAACCTATTTTCATTTTTCTATTTTCTTTTTGTTATTCAGCTTTATCACTTTCCATTACTTTGTCTCCCAACTTGCTGATCTGTTTTGCATCCTCTAGTCTACTATTTATTTCCTCTAGTGTATTTTTTAGTTTTTGAGTTCATCTCTGATTGTTTATATTTTCTACCTCTTTGTTGAGGGTCTCACTGAGAGCCCCCTCTCTTTTCTCATGTCAATTATCTTTATGACCATTACTTTGAATTCTTTATCTGACATATTGCTTATATCCATCTCATTTAGCTCTTTGGTTGTGATTTTGTCCTGTTCCTTCATTTGGGGCATAGTCCTCTCCCCCCCGCCGCCCCCATTTTGTCTATGTATTGGGAAAGTCAGCTACATCTCCTGATCTTCAAAGTAGTGGTGTTTTGAAGAGGTCCTGTAGTGCAATGTCCCCTGTTCACCAGAACGAGGAGCTTCAACGGTGTTTCCTCTGTGTGGTTGCATGCACTGTCGTGATTGAGTCACATTTGCCTTCTGCAATGGCTCTCATTGCCTGTTGTGGGCAGGGTTTGGTCCCTGTGCTGTTAAGGGGCCCATCTGGGGCTGTGTTGGGCATAATAGTTGGGTTGGACCGGATGCCTGCCTTCAGCCCATTTGCTGGGGTTAAGGGTTGCATGAAAATGTGGGGCATTTTCCTTGAGTTGTCCCCTATTGGTGGGTGGTGGTGGCATTCAGATTAGATGTCTGGTTCCAACTCACTCTCTCACTCTCCTAGGTCTAAGCCCACTGATCTTTAAAGTACCAGGAGTTAAGCCCTGCTGATTGTAAACTCAAGTTAATCCCCATTGCTTTTCAAAGCCAGATCTTGTGATAACTCATCTTCCCAGGGCAGGCACCCCGTGTCTGCGGTGCCTTAAGTGTGGTCTGTTCCTCTCCTTTCTCTATTCTTGTGGTGTTCATCCCTTTTCTGGTTAGTCTTGCTGAGAGTTTGGGTACTGACTGCATCTCTGCCCCTCCTATCATTTTCCTTGTGGCCTCCTCTCAACAATTAACTGTGGAGGGCCTGTTCTGCCACCCTGGGTTGTTTTGGGGGTTAGGTGCACTGATGTGGCTGTTATCCAGATGTATCCATGGGACAAGCTGAGCTTAGGATCCTCCTACTCCACCATCTTCCCAGGCTCCTATATGTTCTATTCTTATCAAGTACAATATTTGGATCTTGTCAGACTTTGGTTCGCTCTTGAGAAAAACTTCAATTTACAGACTATTGGTCAGTTTCAATTTTTCTACCATAAATCATAAAGACTATGGGGCTTAAATGGAATTGGAAAATAGATTCTTGATCATTCATTTAATGGTATAATCAATAGGTAGTAATTTTTTTTTTTTGGAGACCAAGAATTTCTAGTAATCTCCAAGGTTGTCAGTATGTGTATCAATCAGGGAATTGGGAAAGTAACTCTGAATCTTTCAAGTAGAAGGAACACAGGGAACTGGTTTCATTGGTGATGGAACTAAGGCTAAGAAATCCAAAGGGATGGTGAGGCAATCCAAAGATTAGCAAGAGTAGAAATGAAACCAGCCCTCAGATGGAAGGGACAGCAAGAAGTGGTGTTACCTGAGTCCTAAAGCCAGAAGACAAAGAAGGTACAGCTGCTGCCAGAGACACCACAAAATACAGGGAAGTGGGACAAAAGGTGAGCAAGAAATACATTTCTTCTATCTCCTCTTATATTCTGATCTTCCACTGGTGCCTCCCTGGAAACCAGAGAGTGAGGGTGCATGGGAAATGTAGTTCCCAATGAAGCAGAGCAGAAGAGTGAATAAGTGGATTTGAGAACAAGCAATTTACCAGTAGTACTTAAGAGGAAAACCACTAACCTAGCTTATAGTAGAGATTTACTAAATGAAAACTGAAATCCCTTTACCTCACTAAACTTCTAGAGGCAATATTGTAACAAATGGCAATATTGTAACATATCGTCAAAATCTTCCATAGAAATCAAAATTACCATAGACATCTCTCAAATTTTTTCAAGTCTTTTTAAAAAAACAAACTCTCATAACCTTTATTCAAGGAAGAATTCCTTAAATATTTATTAAATGTCTACAATATGCCAAACACTTTGCCAAACACTAGGAATATAGCAGTGAGTAAGACAATATTCCCAAGGAGTCCACAGTCTACTGGGGACATAAATACACAAATATAGAGTTGTGTAAGTGCGATTTGGGGAAAGTACTACAGCAGCTCATAGGAGGGCATTTTGCTAAGGTGACTGTACTAGTTTGGTTCTTTAGAAAGCAGACACCAAGATGAAATTAGACATGTGTGGTAAGGCAGAATAATGATTCTCCTCCCCCTTCACCCCAAATATATCCACATCCTAATTCCCGGAACCTGTGATTATGTTACTTTACGTGGCAAAAGAGACTTTGAAGCTGTGATTGAATTAAGGATCTTGAGTTGGGGAGGTTATCTTGCATTTTCGGGGTAGGCCCAAATAATCACAAGAGTCCTTACAAGAGAGAGGCAGAAGGGTCAGTCAGAGATGTGATCACTGAAAGAGAAGCTGGAATAATATTGGTCCACAAAGGCAGGCAGGTAGTTTCCAGAAATTGGCAAAGGCAGATTTCTCCCTAGGGTCCCTAGAAGGAATATAGCCCTCTCAACCCATTTGAAATTTCTGACCTTTAGAACTGTAAGAAAATAAATTTGTATTGTTTTATGCCACTAAATTTGTGGTAATTTGTTACATCAGAGATAGAAAATTAATACAGCAAGCAAGGAGCCTATGGTGCAAAATTTAAGGCAAGTGATCTCAGGATGAAGCTATCAATATCTATTCATGATGGTTAATTTTATGTGTCAATTTAACTGAGCCACAGGGAGTCCATTTATTTGGTCAAACATTATTGTGGCTATTTCTGTAAGGAAGTTTTTTGAGGAAATTGACTAAATCTATAGACTGAATAAAGCAGACTGCCTTCCTTGATGTGGGTGGGCCTCATCAGTTGAAGACCTGAATAGAACAAAGACATTGACTAGGCTGACTCTCCCTTGAGTAACAGATAATTCCTTCTGCCTGCCTTCAAACAGGAGCATCAGCCTTTTCCTGCCTTTGGGCTCAAACATCAGCTCTTTCTGGGTCTTTAGCCTGCCTGCCTTTGGACTGGAACTACATCATTAATTCTCCTGGGTCTCCAGGTTACCCACTCACCTTGCAGATCTTGGGACTTGTTAGTCTCCATAATAGTATAAGCCATAATTATTCCTTATAATAAATATCCTATTGGTTCTGTTTCTCTGGAGAACTCTAATACTCCTCTAATACACAGGAGATCTGCGAGGCACTGCTTTGTGGCTTCCAGAGTCCACCTTTTGCACTAACATCAACTCTCCACCCTGGCTCTATGGTTCCTGTTAGCCTCTCTTACCTAGAGGAAATAGGAAGAGGTTAGTGGAATGAACTACAGCCCCCACCATTACAGGTGATCTCAGGGCCTCGACTGGTATTTATGTCCTCTCTCTTCCACCTTGGCAGGTCTTCATGGCTTACTTGATGGAGTAACTTAACATTCTTGAGGAGAGCTGGCCAATAAACATGAAAAGGTTTGTGTTTCAAACTTGTCTATTTATTTTTGCATTATTTGTCTCATTGGTTTTAATTCTTTAGTCTTAAGACAATCATCTGAATTTTTAATGTAATGTTAATGGATTGTCTTAATCTTATTTAAATGAGGTAGGTCCCAATTTACCACAGTTTAAACTATATACTCTTTGAGACACATCTCTCTTTTTTGCTAATAAGGTAAAACCATTAATGAAGATCTCTATGTCCTTAAATGTTGTATCCCCTACAGGAGCAAGAATAATCATATAAAGGGCCAGAAGATCTTCTGCCTCATTGAATAAATACCAAGGTGTCCCCAATTCATGTATGTTATGTAAATAAATCTATTTGAGAAGGGGCTTTCCTTGGCAAAACAAATTAGAACCTGTGTTTTAGCTTTATCAAATCACAAAGAAAAATAAAAGCATAAACTCAATTCAATAAATCTTTATTGAGCTCCCACAGGGTGCATGAATTTAGGATCTATAATTTACAGAAGTAGAAAAGTGTCACTTTAGCCTCTTAAAAATGAAAAAAACAAAGCAAATTACAATTTCTCTATATTTCAAGTGAATCATTTAATGTGAGGCTCAGTTTGATATTACCATAAGTATTAACAGAATAAAATGGGAAAGTATAAACATTTTCCCTTCTATCAAAAAAGGGCTTTGATGCCAGGATAAACTAGCCTGTTGGTCTAAAACAGCTGATCAAAAAGGCTAGAGAATCTGGAAGTAAAAAATGTACTTGGAAGCACTGTCCTCTGAGGGCTCATTCCCCTGAGGGCAACAAAATGCTGAAAACTGGCTCAAAAATTATATTGAAAGATCAAGAAGGGGAGTTAGTCACAGCTTGGGGAAAAACAATTGAGAACAGATGACACTAAATGTAGCTAGATTCATAATTCTAAAATTTTCCCGGAGTTACACTAGAACTCTGAGTTAACCAAATAGGCTATGAACTCATGCTCCTTTGAAGAGAGTGGTTTTAAGAAATAGACTCTCCAGTGCACCAACTGTATTTTCAAGTATAATTCTAGTATTTGTACCTAGCAATACAGAAGAAAAGCAGCAGGGAGAAAGTGTCAAGTATCTAGGACATAAAGGATGTGGTAGTCCTAGAATTCCCAGTTTAAGTCTTTTTCATTAGAAAAATCACATTCCGGCTCAGTCCAAGGTGACACCGGAGACAGCGCTATTGATGGCTTAGGAGGCAACAGTGAAAGTATTGAATCCTGGTTTTCTTCTTTCATCTGTTAAAGAAACTCAAAATAAGGCTGTTGGTACATAAATTCAATACATTAGCTATGTTAGCAATAAATGACTTTTTAAAATGTACAAAGTGTTTAAAATTGTTTTTAGGTATTTTCACTAAAAATGCCCTTGATCATCTGAAAACAGGAAGAAGTAATAACCAAACGAACTAATTTTTATCAGAATTACTTTGCCGCTTCATCATCTCTAGCCAACATAGAAAACTACAATGTCTCTAATCAAAATATAAATTGAGGGCATAGTAACATTTAATGATACTCTGTTTTTACTCATTTTGTTTTGCAGAATGGAAATATTTTAGAAAGCCTGTAATTGAACTACCAAAAAAGTTTTCTTGTTTTTAACTTTACTTTGTAAGAAAGTCATTATTAAGAATCTTGGTTACCAAATTGTCCCATTAAGCCAACACAATGAAATGAATTTTTAATAGTATTTAAAAACATCTAGAAAACAGAAGACAGATCAGCTTACCTGTTTGAAGAAAACATGGGACAATAAACTGCTTGCAGATGGTCTGAAATTTTTTTAAAAGTTGTAAGAAAAAAAGAGCCTTGTGTTAGAATGTATTTTAGGTGTAAAAATATATTAGAAATTAGGTTTAGACCTATAAAATTCAACACTAAAAAATTGAGGCCCAATTCTTAGCTTCAGCCTTGACTACTGGGAAAAATTAATTTGAGAAATAACATTTATTGGGCACTAATTTTAAGGAAGTATTCTAGGCATTAAGAGGCTAAAAAAAGATAAGATACACCTTATTTCTGAAATACTAACACTAATATGTAGTTATGATAATTTATGCTATTATAGCAAGAACATTTTTGTACTGCTTGGAAGTTTCTAAAATGTATTAACAGAAATGCAGTAATTAATGTTCAGAAAGATGGAACTGATTTTTACAAAATAACTTGGTTAAGAAGGGATACAGCTGAGACCAGAGACCAAGTCTTCTGACTTCAGATCCAGTACTCATCCCATTTGCTCACTGCCTCTACTTGTTCTTAGCATTGATATTTTCTGGATTAGACTGTAATTTTTTGAGCAAAAGATTGATAGAGATTTAAATTTGGTGGGAAGGGAGTATCACAAAGCTTCTATAAAATATAAAACACGTAAGTTTGATGCTATTTACAAGTGGCCAATATTACCTTTTCTCAGGATCTTGCTGCAAACAGAGCTGAACCAAGCTAAAGAAGGCAGGAGAGAAAGTTTTTGAGGATGGAGTTTGCAATCTGTCACTATTTCCTGTATGAGTTCCACTGGAGACAAGTACACTTTCTCCAATCCCAGAGTCTACACCTGATCGGGAATTCTTCATTCTGGATTCTGACGGAGGGAAGATACTAACATCCAATGGGCTATAAGGAGGACCTTTCAGTTTCTGTAACAACATCTAAAAGAAAGAAAAATTTCCTTCAACCCTTTTCAGAGAAAACATTAAAACAACAATAAAGATTCTAAGAGCAAAGACGTTTAACAGAAATTATCTAGAATATAAGGGATCTTATGAAAAAAAAAAAAAAGTAGTTTGGGGCTCTTAATAGCATTTACCTGAGTCCTATGCATGTCCTGGAAAGGTACCTGCCCACTGGCCAATTCGCATGCTGTAATCCCAACACTGTAAATATCTGACTTTACATTATATCCATGTAAATCCTGTAGAACAATTAATTTGAAGTCCTTTAGTGAAAATAACTTAAAAAGTTATATAAATGTGCTTTTTTGAGAAAGGATGTGGGAATAATGGAAAAAACTCATAAGTGAGAAATCAAGATATACCTAATATGTGCTATAAACATTTTAAAATCCCTAACATAATAATTTTGACAAGAAAAGAGGAAAAAAGTCTTGCAGTAGGCCATTCACCAATCCAAATCTAAGGGCACAATTGTCCTTTAGTCAAGCTCAGAAGACACTCAAGATGCACAGACAACCCAATACGAAGGCCACACCTGACCTGTCTCAGTAGTTCTGGGCTCAGCCACGGCTGCACTGATGTGCTGAACTGTGGGAAATCATACACAGCCCTATGCCTCTGTCCGTGCTTAACCAAACTATGCAGGTGGGACAGGCCAGAGAGGGTCACTAGGCCATCACCAGAAATGAGGATATGGCTGGCTTTAATACTCCTAGAACAAAAAGAAACAATCCTAAATACTAGGAAATTGGCCAAGGAAGAATAAAAATCTGGTCAGAACAAATCCATGTATTCTCTTGGAAATTAAATACTCTTTATAAAATTATAAAATAGCACACTTATATATAAGTGTGCTTATACAAACACATATATACATATATATGTATACATACACATATGAAAAGTTGAGGGAATTAAGGAATCCTTTCAAGTATTTAATATAGCATTAGAACAAGGGAAAATACAACTGACAGCTACATTTGGAAGGGATATTTTTTTCAAACTAGGAATGGAATCAAATTATTTCACTACTTTAGGATACTGTTGAAATATACCCAAAGAGAAGTCTAAAAAGTCAAGTAATATTTGAAGCATAAAGTCAGAATTTAAATTTAAATGCAGTATTATCCAATAAAAGGCAGCCTCTCATGGTATTAACATCATTTACAAAGATGTCTTATATAAAAATTTCCTTTGTCAGATAAATTATACAAGAGCCTTGTTTTTCATCCAAAATACTGGATTTGGAAACTAACAAGTAGGATGGCCAACAGTCTGGTTAACTGTATTAAAACCTTGATTAATTAGAATACAGTATGTTAGAACTCCTCTGTTAACCAGAATGATCCTAAAAATGAATAGTAAGAACAAAGCTTTAAAGATATTGAAATGAACAGTAAAAAAACAAGCTTATTTAAAAATAATTAAAAGGGAAAAAGTCCCAGTATATCACAGAATGTTGTTTTTAACATTCAGCCAAATACTTCTGCATCTGTAGTTTAAAAATAAGAGAACTGATATTTAATATGATAGTTTTAAGGTGCTACAAAATATTTAAGAAATCAAAGGTTTAGTTCCAATTTGTACATGATATAAATATGACACAGAGCTGAAAAGCAGATAAAGAAAAACAAACAAGACACAATCAGAATCACTACCTACAGCTTATACTCTAGAGTTCCACGAGGGCAGGCGCTCCACCAGAACACTGAGCACAGCATTTGGTAAACAGGATGTGGTCTGAACATTTTTGGTGAATGAACATAAAATGTAAACAATTACTGTACCTACTGGCCCATTCCTCCCTCAATTTTCACTTACGAGTTTCCTGTCTCTCCTAACACTCAACTGCTCCTTCCTAAAAGCTCCTTAAATTATTTCTTCCACTTAAATCCTTTCATTCTATAAAATACAAGGAAGTAAATACCTGTGAATACAGCCATTTTGATGCAGATAGCTCAACCCTCTCACTGCTCCAAAGAGAATGTTTCTTATTAAAGTTTCATTCATTCCTTCAGGAAAGTAAGTCTTCAAAAGTTGACTTGCTGATCCTGAAAGAAACACCTGAAATCTTTAATTGAACATTGAAAGTGATTTTGCTTCTAGCTATGTTTTAAATGTTCTTTCAACCATAAACTCACACACACCCACACCCATTATGTTTTAGAGTCTAACCCCTAACCTATGATGCAAAGGTAATTTTCCTTTAAGAATCTTCAAAAAGACCTTTCTAATGATACTCTAGAGATTAGAGAATTAACAATTTTCAGTATTACCGAAAAAATACTGTGTGGATGTATTTATTTTTCAATCCAGAGGCAATTCACAAAAGTTGTCCTAAAAATCAAAGCTCTAGAATCCATTAATTTATTTATTCAATACACTTATTGAACACTTTGTGTGAGGGACTATATGAGCACCAAAATGAAAAATACATGATCCTGGCCTCAAGAAGTTCAAGTCCAGTGAAATGAGACAGGTACACACACAGATGTTTACCATACAGTAAAATAAGTTTACAATGAGAGAAATTGGGACAGAGATAGTGTGCATCGGTGAAGAAACATTCTGCTTGAAGACCTATAGTGGCTCTCCATTGATAGAGAGGCAGGAAACTGAAGGGAAGTGGCAGTTTGTTCAAAGGCATGGACTTTTTAGGGAAGCAGTAGTTTCACTCATGATCAGACCCATTCTGCCTTTTTCCAAAGACTAAAATTCTACATGAACCAGATACAGAAATTTATCATGAAATCTAGACTTGGCCACCAGATTTATAAATTAGAAGTAGGGACTCATAAATCTAAGATCCCATTCATCCTTATAATTGTAGCTTCCAGGCTAAACTATGAGTTATTTTATCTAAGATGAGTTTTCTTACCATAAGCCATAAACGGAGAAATAACCCAAAGCCAGCTGCCAACAGTGAAAACAGTCCAGTAAGTTGTAATATTGGGGTGCCGGAAAAAGTGGGATAGAATCACTGCTTTCTAGGATAAACACACAAGAGACAAGGCATTTAAAAACAACTTTTTCCCCCTTATGATGAAAATAACAGCAGAGGTGGCAGCTAACACTCAGCACAGCTTATTAGTACTAAGCACTGTTCTTGGGGCTGCCATCTCTTTAAATGTCACCACAACGACAGGAAGTATGTCATATGATCATTCCTATTTTACAGGAGAGAAACAGGAAATAAGAAACTTAGAAATAAGTCAGAAAGCTTGTTCAAAAGCACATAATCAATAAAAGGAGTGGAAGAGAGATTTGAACTGAGTCTAACTCCTGAGGTTGTACTTTTAATAACTATAGTATGTTCTTATTACAGAAACATTTAAAAATACATAAAACTATGAAGATAATCACTTCTAACACTAAATCACAGAGACAACCACTGTTAACATCTCACTGTACTTTTTTTTTTTTTAAAGATTTTACTTATTTATTTGAGAGAGAGAGTGAGAGAGAGATCATGAGCAGGGGGGAAGGGTAGAGGGAGAAGCAGACTCCCCACTGAGCAGGGAGCTCAATGCGGGGCTCAATCCCAGGACCCTGAGATCATGACCTGAGCCGAAGGCAGACGTTTTAACTGACAGAGCCACCCAGGCACCCCTTCACTGTAATTTCTTTCAATCTTTTTTTTTTCTGTGCAAAAACATGTGCACATGTAAATACTTTAAAAATTCGGACAATATCAAAACAAAATGCTTTCCCTCCTTATATCAAAAATGATTAGTGACAATGAAAATGGTATTACAATATTCCCGAAATGCAAATCTGTCAAAATTTATCAATTCAGAAGTTGATTTTACTTAGCTGGATGAAAAGGAAACTGCTTGTTTTTTTTCTATTTCCCTATATGACTATTTGGGATTGGACTAGGAGCATTGTAAATCTCCAGACCAGCATTTTGAATAGGATATTCATTTGAGGGAATTTATAGTAGTTACCAAAGTTTAAATATATTTGCTCTTTCATGGATCTGGCTTCCAAGTATTATTTCCAATTCTGTTATTGCATGTTTATTAGAAGAAAGAAATTTAACTTTCTCTAACAGAAAGAATGTAATTTGGGGAAAAAAAATTCTTACAGATGTAATCTCGTCAAATAGACATTAAATATATCATTTTTCTCATATTGTTACCTGTAAAGCTTTCAGGCGTTCATCAGTGCAGTTTTCTAGATTTGTAATTTTTATAGTCACCAGTGTTCCTGTAGGAGTATGACGGGCAAGATGGACAGTCGTCAAGTTGTCAAATCCTCTTCCTATAATCAGATGTAAAACTCATGTTAGCAACCAAAGAAGAGAAAAACTGATAATTTGGACATCAAAATTTAAACCTTCTGCTCTTCAAGAAAACACTGTTAAGAAAATGAAAAGATAAGCCACTAATAGAAAGCATTAATGATACTTATATCTGACAAGACTTATATCCAGCATATATAAAAAATTTTTACAACTCTATAGAATTCTTACAATTCTATGCAACCCTATACTAAATTTAAAAATATGCAGATTAAATAAGCAATCCACAAAAGATATAGGAATGTCTAATAAGCACATGAAAAAATGCTCAAGATAGAGAAATGCAAATTAAAACCGCAATGATATACCATTACATACCTATTATAATGGCTCAAATTGTGACTTGATAAACAAATTATGACAAATTCAAACAATGCAATATTATTCAACAATCCCTGAACCATTGATGTGATTTCTGTTTGTCACATAAATGGTATACTTTGTGTCTGGCTTCTTTCACTTAGCATAATGCTTTTGAGACTTTTTTTTTTAAGGTTTTGTTTATTTATTTGACAGAGACACAGCGAGAGAGGGAACACAAGCAGGGGGAGTGGGAGAGGGAGAAACAGGCTTCCCACCGAGCAGGGAGCCCGATGCAGGGCTCGATCCCATGACCCTGTGATCATGACCTGAGCCGAAGGCAGACGCTTAACGACTGAGCCACCCAGGCACCACTGCTTTTGAGACTGTTCCATGTTGTTGTTTCAGTAGTTTCTTTTTATTGCTGAGTAACAATCCATTGTATGAATATACCACAATTTATCCATTCACAAGTTGATAGATATTTGGGTTGTTTTCAGTTTTTGGTGACTATAAATCTTCCAAAACATTCTTTAAGTAGACATATGTTTTCATTTCTCTTTGGCCAATACTTACAAATGGGAGGGCTGGGTCATGCATATTTAACCTAATTTGAAAGTGGCTGAACCATTTTTATTCACACATGCAATGTATAAGAACTACAACATACTTACCAGCATTTGGTGTCATCAATTTTTTAAAATTTAAAACACCTGGAGTGGCATCTATCAATAGGCACCTAATAAATGTTAGTCCCTCCCTCTCTCCACAGTCACCAAATTATGCCATTTATCTTTGAAATGAAGTTAATCACAAATTCATCCCTTCCACTCCAGCGTCAGCATGACTGCCTTAGTTCAAGTCCTGTCCTCTGTCACTAGTCGCATGCAGTGACTTCCTCACCATGCCCTGCATTCTCAACTAAGGCATGTTCCAAAATTACTGGGGAAACAATACTTTAAAAATCTATACCTAGGTCCCACTCACCAGAAATTTTGATTCAGTAGGTCTGTGATGGGATATAGGCACCGCAATTTTTAAAGACTCAGGTGATATGGATGATCCTTCCAGTTGTAAATCACTGATCTATATCTTCCAGACTGCTGCCTGGAACTGCTGCCAGTTATCTATTGATAAAATTCAGCATTTTATCAATAGAAAGGTACTACAGTGCAGCATCTCTCCAGTCAGAAAGGTTTGCTTTCAAATCACTAGCTGTAGGGCTGTCACTTAAATTCTGAGCCTCACTATCCTCATCAGACAAATGGGAGTGGTAAAAGGCTGACATGAAAACATACACCTGAAATATTCAGCACAGTGCCTATTACTACTGTCACCATTCCACAATGGATCTCAAACACGGAGAGGATAAATTCCAAACTTGTGCCTTAAATGCTTTGAGAAATGAAGTGGGTAAGTTGTGAGGGATGACAGAGTATGAACTTCTAAATACATCATATGAAATCTTTCACAGTGTGTTACAAACTTCCCTTTCCAGATTTGTCTCCTACCACTGCCTACTCTCCCTCTGTTCCCACTTGTAGGCAAAGAGCATCTATGGGGTAGTTCCCCTCTAACCATCTTAGTCATCTACTGAAGTAATTTTTTTTAACCTTTTTTTAAATTGACACCATCTGAACGTCCTTTCTAATTTGGGGGCATTTTCCACCAGTGCTATTTAGAAATGTCAGATCCTTATCTTCTCTTGGTCTCCTTGACACTGGCATGGGAAGGTCAATGACTTAAGCTTAGCCAAATGAAGGATGGAGTTAGTGACAAACAGAAGCAGAGGCAGAACTCACTGCAGTGGGTTCCAATATCTGGGATATAAGTACTCTAACAGGAGTACACGAACTAGGCTGTTTCTATGCCATGGCCCTGACTCTGGTTCTAGTTACATAGCTTTTCTTAGTTTCTTCCAAGTCTCTCTCTCTAGCCAACAACTGTGTCAGTTAGCAATACTGTTCAAAAAATTCTTCTCTTAAGTTAATCAGGATCGTTTTCTGTTGTAACAAAAACCCTGAGTAGAACATTTAGCAAACTTTTCCTCATTCTTCAGGATCCCACTTATTTTTGTGGCCTTTACTAACTCTCAGGGTAGTTATGATGGATGGTCAGATGTTCCATCTTTTCTGTTCCCATAACAACACACCTCTACTATAGTGCCCTCTAGTACATAAACAAGACTACCTTACGAGTTCATCTTCTCAGAGGGAATATGGATTCCCCAAGTGTTTTACATGGTTTTATATCCCTAGCACCTAACATAGTATCTGTTGGTAGTGTTTAATAGATATTTCTGAATATTCACAGCAAATGTTTCACAAGTGTACGGCTATTAATAAATCTGTCTGACACAATTAACATCTAGTTTTATGCTACAGGTGACAACAGAAAAAGACCTGCCCACAAAATAATCTTTTGGTCATCAATTTCATTTCTAACGATGAAGGGTCAATTCAGGTAATTACCTATTTCCACTTGGAGTTCATAGTGAGAAACATTGGTGGAACAGATCACATCCTTGGCTCTAGTGGACGGAGGCAAGTGGGAAAAGGCTGGCGCATCAACCTACATTATTTTAAAAAGATGAAAACAAAATAAACTTTTTTGGTCCCCCATTTTAGTCCCCTACCCTAATATAAAATACTGATATTTTATTTTCAAACACAAAAGTGCTCATTAGGAAGGCACTGGAAGGTGGCTTACAACACTGTTTCAAGATCTAAAAAGAGTTTAAAATTGCTAATAAGTGGTTAATTAAAAAGCTATCAGCATGTAAAGCTATCAGCATGGGAAAAGCAGATTTACAGGTAGCAAAGAATACTTTCCTGCACTATTTCCAGTAAGCATTTTTAGGAGTTGCTAGAAACAGCTCTTAATTCTTCAGGGTATCTAATAAATACATGAAGGGAAGAAACGCATGAACCTGTGAGGAATATTCTGTACTTTTGCTCTTGCTTCAAGTGGTTGCCAGTTATATCTATTACACATATAAGTCCCTGCTCAGCTAGTGGAGATGTTAACAAATCAAGGAAAAATTTCCACATTGCAGCCTATTAAAATTGCTGAAGTTTTTCACAAGATGAAATGAATCAGAAGGAAGGTAAGAAAGAAAAACCTCAAGAGATGGGAAAATAGGGTACAGACTTAATGTGTTAATGACCATGTGCCAATATGAGGTCTCATGGGGGTGCTTTAAGATCAGAGTCTTAGGTTTGCACCAGATCCCAGTCACAGTGAAATAAGATGCACACAGAAGAAAGAAGAGGCCAATACCACTGGTGTCATATGATAACCAAGAAGACCTCCCAAAAGACAGCTGTACTCTAAAAGACACTTGGGAGATTTCAAAAGCATCAGCAGGTGGCATGAACCTTGTTACTGCCTCCAAGGTAGAGAGAAGGAAGAAAGGGATTAGAAATGACATTACTGTAGTAGTAGTTGTGCTGCTTTTTACATCCTTGATTCTACATGTTCCCCAAACTTTTAAAAGAGCAGAAAAAATATAAGCTCACAATTAAAGATGAATAAAGGTCAATACTGTTCAAGAGGGGTGAAAGACCGTAAAAAGAAATCCTACTATTACAATTGGAAATAATCCCAATGAAGAAAAGAAATCTAAGTAAATCATTTCTTCAAAACAGCTAGTTTTCAAATTACATTAGATTTAAAGAACACAAATAAGAGAGAGAAAGAAGAACATATTAACAATTTTTTAAAATTTTCAAGTGATAACCTATAAGCCTGTCAGGAAGGCTAGAGCACGCAATGAACTGAGGTTCATAGCTCACTGCTAGAGAAAAATGGAATAGGTTACCAGATGATGGATTGAAATCAGGCTAATCAACCTCTTCTTTGCTTCCATCTTCTCCATTAGGGAAAAGGAGGCACCTGGCTGGCTCATTTGGTAGAGCATACAACTCTTAATCTCAGGGTTGTGAGCTTAAGCCCCACGTTGGGCATGGAGCCTATTTAAAAAAAAAATAGACTTTTTCTGTCTATTTCCCTATGTTAGAAAAGTCAGCTACATCTGCTTTAAAAGTAGTGGCCTTCTGAAGAAGAGCTTCTGTAGTACCATGCACTACACCAGAACCAAGTGCTTCAGGGGTGTCTCCTATGTGTGTTGTATGTGCCCTGTTGTGGGTTTTTTTTTTTTTTAAATAGGCTCCATGCCAAACGTGGGGCTTAAGCTCACAACCCTGAGATTAAGAGTTGTATGCTCTACCAAATGAGCCAGCCAGGTGCCCCAGGAAATAGTTTTCTTTAAAATAGAAAGGGTGGGGCACCTGTGTGGCTCAGCTGGTTGGGCATCTGACTCTTGGTTTTGGCTCAGGTCATGATCTTAGGGTCGTGGGATCAAGCCCCGTGTTGGGCTCTGTGTTCAGCGCAGAGTCTACTTGGGATTCTTTTCCTCTTCCTCTCCCTCTGCCCCTCCCCACACTTGCACATGGGCACATGCTCTCTCTCAAATAAAATCTTTAAAAATAAAATGAAACAAAATAGAAGGGGCACATATATTGTAAATATGTAGCTGAAGTCCAAAACAAAGTATTTTAAAAAGGTTCAAAGTTACAGGCCAAAGACAATTATATCTAGAATATTATATCTAGAATATTAAGTTTGCAGATGTAGTAGAACTGAGAAGAGAAACCAGAATGAAAATAGTCAAATACTGACCCAATTTTCAAAATTGCCCGGCCCCCACATTCTCCTGCAGACCTGCCCTCAGCAGAAGTCCATCCAAGGCAAGTCACAGAATGGCATTGTGCAAGCAGTCTAGACAGTTGCCAGTACCACTCCACAGTGACTCTTGCCATAGGGAGAAGGGAATATAGCCATATACACCAATATGACTCTGACCCCAGCAGTGGCTGGGGGCAAACATCTGGTCTGACTATAGGTGGCCCCCCCCACCAATAAAAGCTTCTCAGGAGACAATACAGGGAGAGCACACTGCAGTTGGGTATGACCCTAGCACTGGCAAATGTCTAGTCTGACCCACCATAAGCCCAAGGCAGCCCCAAACTGGCTATTCACAACACAGGGACCGAAAGCTGCCAACAATCGTCAAAGAGAACCACTGCAGATCACTGGACTAAAGGCAAACACTGCTCAGCCACAACAGGGCACATACAACACACATAGGAGACACCCCTGAAGCACTTGGTTCTGGTGTAGTGCATGGTACTACAGAAGCTCTTCTTCAGAAGGCCACTACTTTTAAAGCAGATGTAGCTGACTTTTCTAACATAGGGAAATAGACAGAAAAAGTTAGACAAAATGAGGAGACACAGAAATATGTCTCAAATGAAAAAAAGGACAAAATCACAGCAAAAGAGCTAAACAAAACAGAGATAATATGCCTGATAGAGAATTTAAAGTAATGGTCATAAAGATACTCACTGGATTTGAGAAAAGAGTGGAGGATCTCAGTGAGACCCTCAACAAAGACATAGAAAATATAAACAAGAACTAAGCAGAAATGAAGAATACAATAACTCAAAAATATACTAGAGGTAATAAATAGTAGACTAGAAGAAGCAGAAGACTGGATCAGTGACCTATAAGAGTAATAAAAAAGCCATCAAGCTGAACAGCAAAAAGATGAGAACAGGTTAAGGGAACTCAGCAACACCATCAAGCCCAGTAACATTTGCATTATGGGGATCCCAGAAAGAGAAGAAAAAGGAAGCAGAAATTTTATTTGAAGAAATAATAGCTGAAAACATCCTGAATCTGGGGAAGGAAACAGAAATCCAGATCCAGCAGGCACAGAGAGCCCCCAACGAAATCAATCCAAGGAGGTTCACACCAAAGACATATAATTATTAAAATGGCATAAGGTAGTGATAAAAAGAGAATTTTAGGGTGGGGGATGGGTTAGCCTGGTGATGGGTATTAAAGAGGGCACGTTCTGCCTGGAGCACTAGGTGTTATGCACAAACAATGAATCATGGAACACTACATCCAAAACTAATGATGTAATGTATGGTGATTAACATAACAATAAAAAATAAAAAAAGAGAATTTTATTTTTTAAGATTTTATTTACTCATCAGAGGGAGAGAGAGCACAAGCAAGGGAAGCGTCAGGCAGAGGGGGAGGGAGAAGCTGGCTCCCCGCTGAGCAAGGAGCCTGATGTGGGACTCGATCCCACGACCCTGGGATCATGACCAAAGCCAAAGGCAGATGCCCAACTGAATGAGCCACCAAGGCATCCCCCAAAAAAGAGAATTTTAAAAGCAGCAAGAAAACAGTTACATACAAGAGAAACTTGGGGCACCTGGGTGGTTCAGTCAGTTAAGCATCTGCCTTCAACACAGGTCATGATCCCGGAGGCCCGGCATGGAGCCCCGCGTTGGGCTCTCCTCTCAGTGGGGAGTGCTTTTCCCTCTGCCCCTTCCCCGACTTGTACAATCTCTCTCTCTCTCTCTCTCTCTAATAAGTAAAATCTTTAAACAGAAACAGAAAGAGAGAGAAACTCCATAAGACCATGAACTGATTTTTCAGCAGAAACTTTGCAATCCAGAAGAAAGTGGCACATATCCTAAGTGCTGAAGGAAAAAACCTGCAACCAAGAATACTCTATCCAGCAAGGCTATCATTCAGAATAGAATAAAGAGTTTCCCAAACAAAATTTAAAGGAATTCATCAACACTAAACCTGTCTTACCAGAAATGTTAAAGGGGATTCTTTGAGTAGAAAGGAAAGGCCATAAGCCAGAGTTTAAAAAGTAGGAAGCACAAAAGCAGTAAAATTAAGTATATCTATAAAAATCAGTCAAGGGATTCACAAAATAAAAATATGTAAATTATGAGACGATATACATAAAAGGTGGAGGAAGGAGGAGAGTAAAACTTTAGTGCTTTTAGAAGGGTTCAAATTTAAGCAACCATCAACTTAATATAAACTGCTATATGCATAAGATGTTATATATAAACCTAACAGTAATGACAATTCAAAAACCTGTAATAAATATGCAGAAAGTAAACAAAGGAATCCAAGCATAGAAAAAAAGCCATCAAACCATGAGAGAAGAGAGCAAGAGAAGAAAGGAACAGAGAACTACAAAATCAACCACGAAACAACAAAATGGCAATAAGTGCATACCTATCAGTAATTACTTTGAATGTAAATGGACTAAATGGTACTATCAAAAGACACAGGGTGGACCAGAGAGTTTTGCAGGGTCTCAGTTCTGGTAGAGGTCGTGACAGGTCTCTGTCTTGCAGACCAGGGCACACCTAGTTAGAACTCACCACATTCAGGTCAAGGACCAAACACTGCCCACAGCAGACAAGAAGAGCCTCTACAGAAGACTGGCCTGAAATACAGAGCAGCCAGAACACAACAGCAGAGTGCAGGCAGCACACACCTGAGATACTCCCAGAAGCACCAGGCCTGGGCACTACATGACCTCTCCTTCATATGGCCATTACTTTTAGAAGCAGGAGACATAACTGGCTTTTCTAACACACATAAGCAGGCAGAGACTTAGACAAAATGAGAAGACAGAGGAATTAGTCTCAAATGAAAGAACAAGATAAGGCCATGGCCAGAGATCTAAG